AGAGGTATTGTTATTAGAGATTTTTTAGCTAATTAACATTATAAAGGAAAACTCAAATATTTTCATTTCTTTGCCTAACTCCAACATAAATCAATTAACCTCCCACACCATAAACTGATTTGATTAGTCTCCCTAGAAATATAGTCCAATAATAAGATTAATTAAGCCCTTTTAAAAAAATAATTGTATTATGTCCTATCAATTTTATAAATATGATAAGTAAGCTAGATAAGAATATGTTCTAAATTTATTAAGTTTTAAAAGCAAAGGAACAGAACTTATTTATTTTTATGAATCTGCTAAGTGATTATGGATATTAAAGTTATCAAATCTTAGAGTGAACCATCAATAAAATTCGATAATCATTAAATAAATGAATTATTCATAAATATAAAAAGGGATGCTTAGATAATTTCTAGACCATGCTTCTATTCATTCGGTTTATATTCTATAGATCATAATCCAAATAAATTAATATTTTCAAAAAAAATAGAAAATAATCAGAAGAAAAAAATTTAAATCTTTAATCAAGATAAAAAATATAAGACCTATTAAATATAACTAATAATTATCTTTCAAAATAAATCAAGACTTTTATTAAAAAGTAGTGTATTCAAATCATTTAAACTTATCAAATATATTTATCCTTCTTTCCTGTATTATCAATATATGAATACGTTTCTTAATTCTTCTCTAATATCAAATACGTTTCCATAGTGTGATGACAATATAACAATAAAAAATGGATATCATTCTCCGAAAAACTCGTTTTAGCTTGGTGTATAGAATAAAGAATCAATGTCCTAATCAAATCTATATATTTGAAAAATATAGAAGAAGAGAATATTGATTAGCTCTTATCTACTAATAAAGTCTGAATGACTTCACATCATTAATTAGCTTTTCTAAAACTTAAAGATATTTAAGATACAAATACATCTCAAATAGTAATTAATTCTAAGTTTATGTAAATTTAATTAATTATAAAGTTTTATATAAAATTACAATTTTAATCTATCTTGGAAATCTAGAATGAATTTTCAAGATACTTTCAAATAAGATTATTATTTAGTTTCATTTTAAATTAAAAAAAAATACTTAGGAGAAATATGGCTTTTTGACTAGCAAATTAGATATTTAAATACACAGCTAAAGAAAAATAAAAAGTAATCCTTTTTGTATGACATTTTTCATTGGTTTTATTAGTATAGGTTTGTTAAAATTTTTGTTTTTAGACTCTTATTTTGGTTAATATTTTTAACAAGGTTATTTGTTTTATGAATTACATACCTAGTCGTCATAAAATAATATGAATAATTTGAAACGCATTATTTGCAAATAGGATAAATAAAATGAAATATTTATCATAAATTAGTATTTATAACAAACTAATACATCTAATTCAAGAAAAATAATTAGAATTGTTCTTATCTCAACTTAGGTAAGGTATGATAATTGAATTAAAATTATTAACCCAAACCTATGCAATTATAAGGGTCTCCATAAGATATTCTAAGCAATAAATTCAGTCTTTCTATAGTGTTATTCATTCATATATTTTGTGCTAATAAGATACTTGTTTATTTTTTTTTCAAATTAAAAATATCAATACAATTATTTTAATGTCAATAAATAAAATTAATAGAGTTAAAAAATATAAAATTAAATATTAAAATTATTATCTAAAAATGTCATCAAAAGTAAATGAAATCAAGAATTGTTCAACTCATCAACTCCAGATAGTTGCAGTCGATCTTAAAGCCACTAAAGAAAAACAAGAGAAATTCTTATGTGTCAAATGTCTGATAGATAGAGTTGATGGAAATTATATAGTGTTATTGAAAGAAGGATTAGAAATGATTGATTAAATGAAAAATAAATTTAAAGAACAAACCATATCACATACTCAACAACAATAGGAAAATATAAAGTCACTTTAATCCTCTGTTTTAGAGATGAATAAACTTTTCTCTGATGTCTTTACAAAGCTCTAAAATAACTTTGATGAAATAATCAATTCAAATTAATAAGACATTTAGTCTAAGGAAAAAACTGTAGAGGAAATAGATTTAGATTAAGATTTTGAAACTCTATCAAATATTTATAAGGGCAACTCTGATTTTGACATGCCTAAACCAAAAATTAAAATAGATAACTTCAAATCATTAATGGATAATGTCTAGAGCCAATTTCTTTCAATGGCAAATTCATAATCATTTTCTTAAACGTTTGAATAAATCAAGAAAATTAAATCCTAATATCAAAATGAATTTTCAATAGAATAAGAATTTATATAAATATATAAGAATGTAAGTATAAATTAATAATATAGAAAACTCTAAGTTTAAAATATAATTGTAAAATACATGAATAAGAAATAATAATGGTTAATATAAATGAATGTGAAAATGAATAATAAAATAGATTTGCATGTGTTGAATGTATTTAATAATATCCAAATAAATATATTTCATTAAATGAAGCAAATAAAAAATGGAATCAATATAAATAATAATCAAAAGAAATTAATAATAATTATTAAAATTAAAGATAATCTAAATTTAATTAAGCTATTTAAATGATATCTTAATTTAAATAATCATATAATCATTAAATTAATGAAATTATTTAATCATTAGAAAAATAATATAAATTAGATGAATCTATTATAATATTAGGAGATAATAATTAAATTAATTTTACTATAGATGAATTAGATTAATAAGAAATATTAAAAATATTAAATATTTTAAGTTAAAAAGATTAACATTATAATTTAAAATAATAATAATTAAAATTAAACTAAGATGATTCTATCTATTTATAAAATTTTATATCAAATTTAGATAATCTTATTTAATTAAATATATTAAATAAAAATAATTTAATGAATATATTTATAGATAATTAATAATAATTAATAAATATAAATCATATTTAATTAAATTAGAATTAAATAGATTCATAATCAATTATTCAAAAATTTACAATTTTAGAATAATATATTAATATTATTAAAGATTCTTTTAATTATTATAAGAATTTATAATAATAGATAAATTAAATTGATTTATCATAATTATTAGAATAGTAATAAAAAGAATATTAATAATATTAATCTAATTCTAATTTAATGTAAATATTAATTATTGCAGAAGATAATTCAGAATTATTAAAAGCTAATTAATAATAATTATTTAAATTATATGAATTAAATATCCAATAATAAGAATAATTAAAATAATTAAATTAAGAAATAGATCAATTGAAAAAGAATGAATTACAATTATAAAATGAATTAGAATAAAATAAATAATTAAATGATACTTTAAATATTAAATTAAATGAATAATAATAATAATATTAATAATTATAAGATACTATAGATAATAACATAAAAGAATTTAAAACTAAAGATTAAGAATTATAGAATCAATTACTTTAACATTAAGATTTATTAAGAGAATTAAAATGTGTATATTAATTTGTATCTATACAATGGACAATTGAGAAGAATACAATTTTAAAAGATGATTTTTTTAGTAAAATTCTTAAAAAAATAGAAGAAAAAACTAAGAAAAAAGTAAAAAACTAATATTTCATTTATTCTGGAACAAAAAATGGATTTAATGGACAATCCTTTTGGAAATCTGTTGATAAACTATCAAATTTATTAATGATATTTAAATCTAAAAGCGGATATATTTTTGGTGCATTTTCTCCATGTAATTGGATATCAAATTGTAGTGGTGCTTATGTTTAAGATAATACATTGTCATCATTAATATTTTCATAGACTCATGATTAAATATATCCTATCAAAGAAGGATAAAAATAATATGCTTTTTATTGTAATAAATCATATGGACCTACTTTTGGTGGTGGTCATGATCTTTATATTTAAACAGATTTTTAAGGTGGATACTCTAGTTTAGGACATTCTTATTAATGTGATTAATACCAAATAAGTAATAAGAGTACACATTTATTTGGTCAATCAACTCCAAATATAGTAGAATTTGAGATATTGATGTTAACATTTTTATGAATTGTATATATATTTAGATTATTGATCTATACAAATTATATTAAATATTTATCAATTAATTATATATAAAATTGCTATTAAATAATTTAAATTATTTAATGGTTTCTTTATTGAGAAATTCATTATAAAATTAAACATAATATAATATTATAAAATTTAACAATTAAAATTTGAAGTTCCAAGTTTCTAAACAATTAATATCATAGTTAAAGTATGATAATTCTCTTACGTAGGATTTGAAATCAAATATTATAAAATTATAATAAAGAGGTTTATTTTAAGATAATTATAATTAAAACTAAACCATGATTCATGGTTGTAAAACTCATCAATCAGATAAGTTTGACTTCTTTTCAATACTTAATTAAATATTGGATTGTTTGGCTATATCCAAGATAAATTAAATAATCACGCACAAAACGACTATAAGAAAAATTGACAAAATAGTGGCAATTACTATTCTTTTGGTTTCATTGTCTTTATTTTACAAGTCTAATAGAATAAGGAATTAAAAATTACCTAGAAAATTATAGAAAGGTGTTCCTTAAAAAAAATCTGCAATTTCTAATAAGAATAATTCTTTCGTTTAAATAGGTTTGTTTTCTTGTTTGTAAAGATTGTTAATGAAGGCAGGTTGAATTTGATCTAAAATTGGAATTGAATGAACAAATGGTAAGAGAAGCAATAATAACATTAATACTCTAATTATTTATATATAATTCAAACATCCAATTTAAATCGATGAAGGGAATCAAGGTCAGCTTTTTTGAATGCTTTTTATTTTGAATTGTTGATGAAGTCTTGGAATACTTTAGAATCACGAACTTAAGGATCTTTAAAAAGAGCCTACATATATGAGATTAATTTAAAACCTAAAGATAGATATTAAGTTATGATTTTCTGGTTGAAATGAAATCTGGATTTAGATTACCAAAGAGTCTTTTAACTGGGAAAGTGGGTAATTGGGACTTGATCACTTCATCAAGGGTTTAATGGAGCTCAGATAACATGCTATATCTAGTCCAAAATGACCATACAACATTATCAACTTTAAGTCTAATGAGGTATTAGGTATGGGAATTGCCTTTAATTTTGTGGTCTTGTAAAGAAATCCAATCATTGGTGTCAAGTAAACGACGTTTACGCTTCTTTGATTTACCCAAGAATTGCAAGACTGGAGCTTCTGAGGTATGGGGTTATGATTATCCGACCTATTGATAATTTATATTAGTAAATACATGAAGGTGAAATTACATCATAGTTGTAGGTAAGAAGGATTTGCAGTTTTATTTAAAAATAAATATTTATGAAATATAATTTATTGATCATTAGAAATAATCATAAATGAGTATTAGATAGTAATAAGATTGTATTATCCATTTATTTAATATACTTTATTACTTAGTTTATTGATAAATTCTAATTTTATATGATTGATTGAATTTTTAAATATATTTGTTCTATATTTATAATTTAAGATTAATTCAAATAATATACAATACTTATTTGAAACTTATAATTTATTCTAAATATTTGTTTTTTTATTCTCTAATTTTAACTTTATATATATATATTATGACTATCAATGTAAATAGTATAAAATAGATTATGTAATTTTATAATTATAGAATACTTATGTAATTATTAATTTATTTTAATAATATGATAATTATATAGATATACAATAATAACTAATCAAATATTCAAATAATCAAATTCATTACATTCTAATTAAACAATCTATCCAAAATTCTAATCAAAGAATTTAGATATTTCCTATTTTGTATTCTAATATACTTAAGTAACTCTCACAAAAGTACTCAAATGACCAAAGAATTATCCAGCTATTTCCTATAATTATTATAATGTAATTAATCCTAATGGTTAAATTGTATTCCATTCCTATAATACTTCTGGTTTTTTGAATTAATTGGATAATTGATACATGAGATTCTGAGTGTATAATAATGATCATACTTCCTTTTTTGATAATATGGATCTCAATTCTCCTAAATTACACTGTATTATAAAAGGATCATTTGGTTACTTATAGAATATCTATTTCTCTAATAATTTAATAGTTTCAGCCAAATCTTCATAATGTTACTTATTTAATGTATTCCAAATCTATTCTTTATTTACTAGAATTTAACTATATTTCATTAATAATTGAACTTCATGAGTATTACCTTTTAGATTCTTTTTACCAATCTATTTAACCATCTTTGAATTTTCAATTGGTATTTCTAGAAGACATAACAAATTAGAACAATTTATTAAACATAATATAATTGTTTTGTATAATTCATACAGAATCTCTAAATTTAATATATTATCTTACTTGATTATTGTAATGGTTGTAATTTGATGAATAATGCAAAATATTTCTTAAATTCAGGATCCTCAGTTTATTTATATTATTTGATGTATTCAATATTATCATTAAATTTCTTATAATTTATATATAAATACCTTATATTATTCTTCCTTTTATTTAAGTATAATTTAATGGAGATTTACTTCATTAGATAATAATGTCATCTATTATAATAGTTGTGTATTCTTTTCTTGTAAATGTAACAACACTTCACATAAAGATTTCTTGATCTTTGTTTAATCGAATTAATGAAATATTGGATGTATATTTGCTCTGATTTGAGTAATCCTTTCATTACCCTAAACAATAAATTATTCACAATAACTCCATTAAACAAATGATACATGCTCTATAAAAAATTGATTTAATAAAGCAATAGCATTATTAATTAATGTACGTGATCTATTTTCTTATTCAAAATGTTTATCTAATTCAATCAGCAATTCAATCATTCTTTTTGCTATATTAAAGAAGCGACCAAATTATTTAAATAAAGAAGCTAAATAACAATCAGCTTTCAAATTAAGTGTCTTCTCTAAAAAATCACTAAACTCATCCACACGTAGAATTTACATCTATTATATAAATATTATAAATATGATAAAAATATTAAATAGAAAATTAACTAATCTATTTAATTATATAATAATCTAGAAGATAACTAAAGATATTAAATTATATCATATTAATTATACTATATTATCTATTTTTAAATACAAATTAATATAAATAGATATAATATCTTATTATTAATACAAATATATTATTTAAATGAATGAATATCTTAATACAATAATAATGATGATATAATAATAATAAGTTAAATAATAAATTATCAAATAAATTGAATTAATAATTAGGATAATTGAATATTATCAAAACTCTTCCTTTTGTTCTCTATTATTAAGTTAATTATAATTTTACAAATTATATGTGATCCATTAAAAGAGATGAAAATTAGCAATAAAATAAGATAATTGACTAGTAANATAGAATATCTATTTCTCTAATAATTTAATAGTTTCAGCCAAATCTTCATAATGTTACTTATTTAATGTATTCCAAATCTATTCTTTATTTACTAGAATTTAACTATATTTCATTAATAATTGAACTTCATGAGTATTACCTTTTAGATTCTTTTTACCAATCTATTTAACCATCTTTGAATTTTCAATTGGTATTTCTAGAAGACATAACAAATTAGAACAATTTATTAAACATAATATAATTGTTTTGTATAATTCATACAGAATCTCTAAATTTAATATATTATCTTACTTGATTATTGTAATGGTTGTAATTTGATGAATAATGCAAAATATTTCTTAAATTCAGGATCCTCAGTTTATTTATATTATTTGATGTATTCAATATTATCATTAAATTTCTTATAATTTATATATAAATACCTTATATTATTCTTCCTTTTATTTAAGTATAATTTAATGGAGATTTACTTCATTAGATAATAATGTCATCTATTATAATAGTTGTGTATTCTTTTCTTGTAAATGTAACAACACTTCACATAAAGATTTCTTGATCTTTGTTTAATCGAATTAATGAAATATTGGATGTATATTTGCTCTGATTTGAGTAATCCTTTCATTACCCTAAACAATAAATTATTCACAATAACTCCATTAAACAAATGATACATGCTCTATAAAAAATTGATTTAATAAAGCAATAGCATTATTAATTAATGTACGTGATCTATTTTCTTATTCAAAATGTTTATCTAATTCAATCAGCAATTCAATCATTCTTTTTGCTATATTAAAGAAGCGACCAAATTATTTAAATAAAGAAGCTAAATAACAATCAGCTTTCAAATTAAGTGTCTTCTCTAAAAAATCACTAAACTCATCCACACGTAGAATTTACATCTATTATATAAATATTATAAATATGATAAAAATATTAAATAGAAAATTAACTAATCTATTTAATTATATAATAATCTAGAAGATAACTAAAGATATTAAATTATATCATATTAATTATACTATATTATCTATTTTTAAATACAAATTAATATAAATAGATATAATATCTTATTATTAATACAAATATATTATTTAAATGAATGAATATCTTAATACAATAATAATGATGATATAATAATAATAAGTTAAATAATAAATTATCAAATAAATTGAATTAATAATTAGGATAATTGAATATTATCAAAACTCTTCCTTTTGTTCTCTATTATTAAGTTAATTATAATTTTACAAATTATATGTGATCCATTAAAAGAGATGAAAATTAGCAATAAAATAAGATAATTGACTAGTAATTATAGAAATAATAATGATTTATTATTAATTTAATTAATACATCTATAAACAAAACAATATTAATCACTTAATTATTTAATCAATAAATTATATTATCATGAGAAATTACGCTTATAAATTTTCTTAAGAGATGGAAAATAGGCATTCATTACCCTATTATTAGAAGAGTTCAATTTATTCTTTTTTTGAGATGTACAATATAATCTTTCTTTTTGATTTTATTGTAGTTCTTTCTATTTTTTTATTAATTTAAGCAAATTATTTTTTTAATAATTTGATTTCTCTATTGATTTTTGTGATATTTCTATTTTATCACATTTAGTTTCATTTGATTCAGTTAATTGAATTAATTCCGAAAATTCCAGTTTTTTTATTGAAGATCTTATATGCCAATCTAAACCATATAATTTACAGCAATCTTTAAGAAATCTATTTCTAGGTGTCAATTACTTTTGAAATATTTCTTTATTTTATGTTAACGAATTATTATTGAGATTGCTTTAACTGATATTACTATCTTTAATTTATTTATCAATTGATAATAAACTTGGTATGTATTCTGTTTTACTTGATTCTAATCTATTAAGTTTCTTTAATTATTTATTTGTAATCTAATTTTTATTGTTTGAAGAGGGAAGAGAACATCGATCACTTTTAAAAGATGATTAAGATTTTTATGGAATTAATAGATGAAGAGTCTCTTGAAATTTCTATTTGATTATATTTGGAGTCATTATTAATTAAGATTTCTTATTTAAACTGATATTTCTATATTATTTCCATTTTTTGGATGGACTTGATGTATTTGATCGATTTTAATAAGTCTATAAATGTCTATAATATTCCATTCTTATAAAATATATAGGATTATAATGTCTATTTAATTTATGCCATTCTTTTTTCTATTTCTTATTAAATATATTTCTATTATAATCTCTAAACCAATATTCCTTAGGTAATGATTATGCTAAAATTAGTTTACCATTAGAATCTATTTTTTTTGGTTTAATTTCAGTAGCTGTTTAAAATAAGTTCTTTTTTGAAAGATGATTAATTGGAGTCTAAAAATTAAAGAAGGAATGACCCTATATTGTATTTAATTTATACATAAATATTTTAATTGAATTTAAATTTATATTTTAATTTGATAAAAGCTTAGAAATTAAAAGTGTTCATCAATATTATTGAAGTGGAAATTACCATTTATATATCTAATTCAAATTTTAATTTTATTAATTATTAATGCTACTTTATGATTCATAAAAATAATCAACAAAAGTTTATGTAGTAATTGTCTATCATCACTTATTAATCTCTATCTATATATAGATAAATAATTAAATATATGGAATTGTCATAGAGTTTTGAAAAATCAATACTTATGTGATAAATTTCCCTTAGAATAAATTCAAATAGGAATTAAAGTTAAGTAAATATTTAAAAAGATTGTTCAATAATACATTATAGTTATTAAGTGAATACTAATAAGAAGTATAATAATAGATGAATTCAATTCTTAATTTTATAGGCTCAAATATAGAATAAAAATATGATTATTATAGTAAATAAAATTTAAGAGGAAGGTATATATATATATGGTTATGGCTATAAATAAAGTGTATAAAGACACAGTAAAATATTAGTATCAAATGTTTAGTTGTATATAATATTATTTTAATATTAGAGATTTCATAAAACATCAAGTCAATATTAATTAATTAAAAAATCTTGATTTTAAAGACATAATTTACTTAATATTAATTAGGATAACAATATCATATAATTCAAGGTATTTTGAAATTAAAAATGATTGATGAAATGTATTTAAAGAGATTTTCTGATGAAAGAATTATTGAATGAATACTGCTCTTTATAATAAAAACATTAATAAATACTTATTAAGTAAAAGATGATGGAAAATAAGATAATAGTATTAAATATTAAATATTATTGAATGGATTTAATATATAATTATGATGAGGAATATCATTAAATTTATATATTGAGGATATAGAAAAAAAATAAAGAGTAATAATCATTATTAATAGATAGATTTAATTATGATTAATGTAATTTATTATTGAATCATCTCATTTTTAAAAACCTGAAAATATATAATAAATATTTATATTGTTTATTCAGTAATATAAGCTTTTAAGGTAGTAATTTATAATGAATTGATTAACTAAAATATAAAGTTGAATCTAATAATGAGAATTTGGTTTGTTTAATTATTTTATGCAATAGAATCTGAATGAAATGAACCTAATATACCATTAAATGAAGACATTATGAATAATATCAATTGGCATTATTTAATCATTAGACTTATGATGTTATTTAAAATATATATTTACAATAGAGATTATTATTAAAAATGGGACTGTGTCTCTCAAAGTAGGAAGCAGAACATCACACAACCTTATCATAAGAAAAATTCTAATAAGAAGATGAACTTGATGGGATCCAGGTTGAACAGATTAGATTAAGTGATGAGGAGAAAGTATCACTTAAGGATTTTGAGTTTCTTAAAGTATGAATTCGCTAAATAAGGTTCTTGGAAGAGGTGGTTATGGGAAGGTAGTCTTAGTAAATCATAAAAGTTAATCAAAATTATATGCTATGAAAATTTTAAGAAAAGATCTTATACAATAAATGAATTCTCGAATCTATATGGAAACAGAAAGAAATATCTTAGCTTTAGTTAAGTGTCCTTTTATTGTGAATTTATATTATGCATTCTAAACAAAACAGAAATTGTATTTTGTTATAGATTTCATGATTGGAGGTACTGTTTATAATCTTATTTAAAAGGAGAGTTATTTTACCATTTGAAGAGAATTGGGAAAATGGAAGAATCTTGGGCTAAATTCTATTGTGCTGAAATAATTCTGGCTATTGAATATCTTCATAGTCAAAATATTATTTATAGAGATTTAAAGCCTGAAAACATATTATTAGATCAAGATGGTCATATTAAAATAACAGATTTTGGTCTTTGTAAAGTAGATATTAAAGAGGGAGATTTCACTACTACTATTTGTGGAACTTATGATTACATGGCTCCAGAAATCTATTTAAAAAAAGTAAATTAATTCCATATCTTAAATATATTAGGGTCATAATTAAAGTGCTGATTGGTATTCTTTAGGAATACTTTTGTATGTAATGTTATAAGGTATTCCACCTTTCTATTCCCAGAATAAAAGATAAATGATTCGTAGTAGATTGGAGAGACAAATTGAAATCAAAACTCCTATTTCAGAAGAAGCAACAGATCTTATTAAATAATTATTAAAAAATAATGTAATTATTTTATTATATATATATATATAAGCCTAAAGATAGATTAGGATCAGATGGATCTAATGAAATTAAATCACATCCATTCTTCAATGGTATAGATTGGAATGATGTTATGGATAAAAAGGTTGCACCTCCTTTCAAACCTAAATTATTTGGAGATAGAGATCTTAGAAATTTCGACGTTGTATCATTTATTCAATTTATGAATTTTATATCTAGACATTTACACAAGAAGTAGTATAAGATACACCTATGCAATCTATGGCTCAAGAAGAGAATTATGATAAGTTTTCTTATTAAGAACCAGAATTGTTTGTGACTATGAATGAAGGTTTCTCACTTAATAAATGATAATAAATATTGTATATTTCAATAAGAAATAATTTTTATAATTAATTATACAATATCAATTATATGATTTAAATTTATATTATTTATATATTAGTTTTAGAATATGTATCTTTTTAATAAAACAGGTTAATGAATGAGGTATTATTATATTTCTTTGATGATCATTTTCAATATAAATATNAGAGGTGGTTATGGGAAGGTAGTCTTAGTAAATCATAAAAGTTAATCAAAATTATATGCTATGAAAATTTTAAGAAAAGATCTTATACAATAAATGAATTCTCGAATCTATATGGAAACAGAAAGAAATATCTTAGCTTTAGTTAAGTGTCCTTTTATTGTGAATTTATATTATGCATTCTAAACAAAACAGAAATTGTATTTTGTTATAGATTTCATGATTGGAGGTACTGTTTATAATCTTATTTAAAAGGAGAGTTATTTTACCATTTGAAGAGAATTGGGAAAATGGAAGAATCTTGGGCTAAATTCTATTGTGCTGAAATAATTCTGGCTATTGAATATCTTCATAGTCAAAATATTATTTATAGAGATTTAAAGCCTGAAAACATATTATTAGATCAAGATGGTCATATTAAAATAACAGATTTTGGTCTTTGTAAAGTAGATATTAAAGAGGGAGATTTCACTACTACTATTTGTGGAACTTATGATTACATGGCTCCAGAAATCTATTTAAAAAAAGTAAATTAATTCCATATCTTAAATATATTAGGGTCATAATTAAAGTGCTGATTGGTATTCTTTAGGAATACTTTTGTATGTAATGTTATAAGGTATTCCACCTTTCTATTCCCAGAATAAAAGATAAATGATTCGTAGTAGATTGGAGAGACAAATTGAAATCAAAACTCCTATTTCAGAAGAAGCAACAGATCTTATTAAATAATTATTAAAAAATAATGTAATTATTTTATTATATATATATATATAAGCCTAAAGATAGATTAGGATCAGATGGATCTAATGAAATTAAATCACATCCATTCTTCAATGGTATAGATTGGAATGATGTTATGGATAAAAAGGTTGCACCTCCTTTCAAACCTAAATTATTTGGAGATAGAGATCTTAGAAATTTCGACGTTGTATCATTTATTCAATTTATGAATTTTATATCTAGACATTTACACAAGAAGTAGTATAAGATACACCTATGCAATCTATGGCTCAAGAAGAGAATTATGATAAGTTTTCTTATTAAGAACCAGAATTGTTTGTGACTATGAATGAAGGTTTCTCACTTAATAAATGATAATAAATATTGTATATTTCAATAAGAAATAATTTTTATAATTAATTATACAATATCAATTATATGATTTAAATTTATATTATTTATATATTAGTTTTAGAATATGTATCTTTTTAATAAAACAGGTTAATGAATGAGGTATTATTATATTTCTTTGATGATCATTTTCAATATAAATATTTATTATATTATTTTATAATTTATTTAGAATATCTTTAAAATACATTAATAATAATATTAATATAAATTAATAATTTTATTAATAACTAATTCAATTTCTAATTATGTAATCATATGTATAAAAATATAATTATCAATGTTTTTACTTTGTAAATGCTGCAATAATTTCTTTTAATATTTAAATTTTAGCATTTTAAGGTAATGATTTTATTTATAAATCATCACCTAATTCTAATTTTTATAAAGATTCTAAAAAAAAGTCTTCTATTTAAGTTCTTTGATCTAAAATGAGTTAAGCTAATTCTTTCATTTAATTAATTTCTTTTTATTTAATAATTAATTATTCTTAAAATTATTAATGTTTTTTTAACAAGTTTTCTTCAAATTTTGCATTTTAATCTTACAATTATTGTAATTAAATTTTAAGCATTTTGTTTTCATCTTTAAGTTTATTAATTTCTTTTTCAGATTATAATTTTTAGACAACAGTAATTTAATCATTAGAATGTTTTCTATTAGATTATTACATTTATGATTATAAATCCTCTTTTTATTTTGTTATTTATTTCAATTCTAATTGTAATTTAATAATCTAATTATCTTTAAGTTATAATACTATATCATGTTCTTCTTATATTTCTATATAATTAATAATTAATATTACTATTTTTAGTTATTTAAAATCTCTCATCCATTTAAGCAATTTCAGATTCATAATCTGATTAGATTTTATCAATCTAAGATCTTAGATCTGCAATTTATTTTAGATAATTATTTTTTTCAATCTACCATTATTCTTAAGGTTATGCTTAAATCATTTATAAATCCTTATTAACAAGTGTCAAATTAGAGACTATTTTATCAACAAAATCACATTGTAATTAAAGAGCCTATTCAATTTCTTCATATTGATGTTATTACTATGTCTAATTAATTGATTAATTATTCATTTTATAAAATTCAAACTCTATGTACTATATTCCCAATTTGTCAATT